CTGATATCAGGGGCTCCAGTGGGAAGAGAATGCTTGGAAAATGATGATGGTGGCACATGGGCAAATGTACTTGACACACTGGATGAATGTATGGATTGTGATAAGAGATGTAAGAGCTCCCAATAAAAGTATTTTTAAAATAAATAAATAAATAGAATTATCACACACATCTCAGAGTCTCTGAAAACATAAAGGAATATTATAACCAAATGTAAGCAATATATTCTGTAACCTAGATGAAATAAGTAATTCCTTAAAATACCTATCCATCCTTCTTCTCTACCATTTACTCTTCACACACCAACAGAATAATATCTTAAACATAAAAGGTCTCTGCCCTGCTTTCAAACAGACACTGATTTCCTGTCACACAGTGACTACATCTGGGTCCTGAAGAGAACCCACATGCACCCACGTGTCCTGTCCCTGGTGACCGCCTGATGGCTTTTCTAGCACCGCTCCTTATGAACATGCACTGCCTCCCGGTTTCCATTAAGTCCCTTGAATTAGTAGATTACTATCTCGAGGGTTTTGAGCTTGCTGGTCCCTCTACCTGGATTTATTTTTCTTTCAGATATGGTCATGGTTTGCTCTCTTCATTCATGTCTCTGTATTAACACTGCTTCCTAAGACAGACCTTTGCTGTTCATTCATACTAAAGCTCACCCACCCCAACCAAATCACTCTCCAGCCCTTTATAGCTTTTAAAAGTATTTTGGTAAACAGCTACTAGAAGTAAAGTTCAATTCCGTTTCAGTGTTTGGTTAACATCTGCTATTTGCCTTTGTCGTCTGGGGGACTTAACAAACAGATGCCTACTTTAACATTGTTTTGACCTCCCAAAAGAAGTTTTATCAATATTTGTGTAAGTGCAGATGTTACTTCCCTATCAAATATGTGTGACAAATGTTAGTAATGCCATAAGGCATGCAACTAGATTTTTATTTTAAGCACTAGATTATTAACTGTCACAAACAGATAGACATTTTACATACACGAGGAATGAAAATAACCCATCTATATGTCCTACACATGTACACTTTCACTAAACATCAATGCTCACAGAAGGAGGAAGATCAAAAGAGGAACTGCACTTGGCACATATACTGCACAAGACTTCTTTAGAGTTGAAAAAAAGGAGGTTCGCTTGAGAACTAGGGTGAGGACTAGGACCTGACCCAAGCCGTGGTATTTTCAACTGCCTCAAGTTCGTGTGTAAGTTGGACAATCATTAAGACCTAAAAAGAAATGATGAGTTTGAATTGTGGTGCTGGGGAAGAATATTGAAAGTAACATAGAATTGTCAAAAGAACAAACAAAACTCTCTTGGAAGAACTATGACCAGAGTGCTCCTTAGAGGCAAGGATGGTGAGACTTAGTCTCACGTTGTCAGGAGAGACCAGTCCCGGGAGAAGGACCTCATGCCTGATAAAGCAGAGGGGGAGCAAAAGAAAGGAAGGCCCTCAATGAGATGGGCAGGCACAGTGGCTGCAACAGTGGGCTAAGCATAGAACAATTGTGAGGATTGTGCAGGACCAGGCAGTGTTTTTCTGTTGTACACAGGGTTGGAACTAACTGGATGGCACCTATCAACAACCTGGCAATTCATGGTATGTTTAATATTCTACAGCAACACTATAATTAAAATGAGTTCATCTTAGTTTTCTTAACTCATTGTCCAGAAAGTGCTCTAGGTTGGATTCAACCAAACCCAACCCACTGCCCTGGAGTCATTTCTGACTCATCGTGACCCTAGATACCAAACCAAACTCAATGTCATTGAGTCGAAGTCGACTCATAGCAACCGTATAGGGCTGGGTAGAATTACCCCTGTGAATTCCCAAACTTGTAATTCTTTATGGGAGTAGAAGACCCTATCTTTGTCCCGAGGAGTCACTGGTTGTTTCAAACTGCTGACCTTGCAGTTAACAGCTCCACCAATAACCACTATGCCACCAGGGCTCCTATGACCCTCTATAGGATTTCTGAACTATATATCTTTATGGACCCAGACAGCCTTACCTTGTCCTGAGGAGTGACTGGTCGGCTGAACCACCGACCAGGTTAGTACCCAATGCCTAACCTACAGCACCAGCAGGGTCGGTAATAGCTTGAGTTAGGCACACCTTATTACTCAATGTGAAATCTTTTTTTTTAACACTTTAAGGAGCAGTTTGCAGCAGATTTGTCTGTTACTTGATTTCTTGAGTATTGCTTACGGGGATAAGTGTGGATTAAAAGGAAATGAAATTCTTGACAACTTCAATATTTTCTCTAGCTATAGGATGTAAATACTATCATATTATATGTAAATCACATGCCTACCATTGAAAATATTCACTCAAATGCACTCACACACACATGGTGCAATTGAGTTAATTCTGACTAATACTGACCCCATATAGGGTTTCTAAGACCGTGAATCTTTACTGGATCAGATGATCTCATCTTTCTCCCCCAGAGAAACTGGGGGTTTTAAAATGCAGGTCTTGTGATTAGCAACCCAATGTTTATGCCTCACTGAGACCTAATTCATGTCAAAGCTGAAGGACCTATTGGGGGTTATAGGTAGAAGCAGCTAAGAAATTCTGTACTGTTTGCTCCGATAGCCAGAAATTTCCTTCATTGCGCTGACCTTGGTTGCTTATTTAGGTCTCTATCTTTACTCATACACTCTCAAGATAGTTTATATTTGATGAGTAATGGAAATTTGCTAATAACAACAATTAATGCTATTTATTGCTTACACATTCCAGACTTTAAGGCTCCCAAGAGTTGACATAAACAACACGATTTTGCAAAAGAGAGGATAGTAAGATTTGGAAGTAAATCAGTGTACCACACATTTGTTTGAGTTACATAAAAAAAGCAGGTTGCATACAGGAAAGCACTACACATTTTTATTTGTTACATAGTTTATTTATTCTTTACAATACCCATTTACAACAAAAGACATGGAACCTAAGCAGAAGATCACTCCTAAGGCAGATCATTAGGTCTGCCCTACACTCGTGGAGCTCCAGCTTTCCTTAGCAGAAGTACCCTGGGAGACCTTCAGGAGTCCATTGTGCATGTCTCGAACACTGGGTATGTTTAGCACTCCAAAGGCTAACTGGATAGTGGTGGTCTGTCTATATCTCTACTGGCTTTGGTTGTGCTTGGATTTAAGCAAGAATTATAAGTGTACAGAGCCAAGAGAGTCAACTGTGAGGTGTTGGGAATACTTGGAATCAAGACAAATACTGATGATACAAGATTATAAACTGAGTACAGAATGTTCTGAGCCTAGTGAATGAAAGGCAAAACAGTGTGACACTCAGAAACCAAAGAGACTGTTGAAAAGCAGAAACACTCAAAGATAAGAAAATAACTCCAAAGTCCCAAAAAGATAACTGATCTAGTCCATTTATATTTTTATGTGCTTGTTCATTCAGTTATTCAGCAGACAGTAAGCTAAGTGTAGAAAACAAACCTTTTTTTAAAAAGGTAGCTGCTCTAAAGGTTCTTCCAGAGCACAAAGCAGAGAATGGGTGCCAGGCTGTCTAAGAGTTCTGAGAGTATTTGGGGTTGGTTCTCTGGCTCTCTTGAAATCACCAGCATTCAGAAGGAGTCTTTAATTATACACCTCACAATAAATTGAAATCTCTCCATACAGCAGACCAAATAATCCCTTCAACACACAATCTAACCACATCATTTCACACTTTAAAATCTTTCACTAGCTCTTTTTTTCCCTGTAGGGTCAAATCAATTCCTTAATATCACAATTTATACCTTTCCTGTCTCATCTTACCTCTGAACACTTTTTTTTTGCACTCTATGCTCCGCATTCAGTTACTTAAAAACATAAGACTCCCTCTTGACTCTTACCTTCTCTCTGTGTGACAGAGCCTTCCTTTCCCTCCTCAATTAGTTTATTCCTATTTAGCTCAAGTGTCTCCTCCCTGGGCCCCTCTAAGTTAGAAAATCTTGGTGGTTGATCCCATATCACTATACTTGCGTTATCACTCTTGTTGCTGCTGCTGTTGGGTTGTGTATCCTTTTCTGGTGAACTCTAAGGAGAGTTCCCTGGAGCGTCAGTATAAGAGTTGTTTGGGCCCCTCCACATTCAGCAGCATTAGCACAGGGCTTGGCACCAGGAGAGTATTCATCACACTTACAGAATTTTAAACTGCTAAGTCAGTGAACTAATGTAAAAGAAAAGTTAACTCCAGAAAATATACGGCCCTTCATAATTTCTTTTCTATAAAATCCAAGTTAATAGGTTTTGGGCTAGTGCTTTAGACCCTTATAGAGTGTATCTCTCCCAAGCAGGAGGTTTTTCCCCCCATTATTTTTTTTTTTATATTTGATCTCTAGGAGAGCTCTTTTTGCACTCCAGTAATTTTGATGACGATATATCTGTCAGTGGTCCCTAATGATTATAACAATGATAATGATCCAAACAGTACTGAGCATGATACTACAAAAGGAGAGAAAAGACAAAAATTTTTCAGTGTGGAAAAAACTAAAAACCTTTCGTGACCAGTATTCAATATTCTACAACAAACAAACAAAACCCGCTGCTGTCAAATAGAGTCTCACTCACAAGGTTATAAATCTTTATGGAAGTAGACGACTATGTCTTTCTCCTATGGAATGGCTGGTTCAAACTGCCAAACTTTTGGTTAACAGTCAAGAGCTTTAAACACTGCATCACCAGAGCTCCATTCAATATAGTGGGTTTGATTAGTCATGCCAGAAAGAAAAATATAATTCTTTTACAATTGCTTTACAGCATATTCATTTCTATTATCAGTATATTTTATTAATATACTAATAAAATGATAGCATGGGCTATCATTTACAGCATACAAGAAAAGCAATTTTTCTCTTTATAAAAATAACCTAATATAATATGCTCTAAAACATATGAAGTAATAAATTTTCACAGACATATAATTATAACATGCTGAATGAGCTTAAGAGGTATTTAGAAACACCTGTATTTTCTAAAATCACCACTAGACTATCTCCTCCCACTTGCCTTCTATGGTCCCCCTTCCAGCCTGTCTGTCTTGCTTTCCCTCCCTCGCCCACCGTCCTTCCTGCTCAGCTTCCTTCTTCATTGCTCCTTTTGTCACACTTCTGTCCCTTCTTCCCCTTCTTCATTCAGCGTTTGATGAACTATATACCAGCCATAAACACAGGAGATATAAAGTTGAGTTAATCATACTTAATTCTGCTTAATTCTTCTCTACCTGTTTTCTCTTATGATCTTACAACCCAGAGAAACTCGGATGAGCCTCATCCCTTTCAAAGGAGTCCCATTTGTAGACTGTCAGGCTAGAGCAAGAAAGGAAGAAGAGATCAAGATACAGAGACCTAAAAGATGAACTCCTCATGAACCAATCTGACAAGAAAAACAAAAGAACTGTACAAAGGAAGCGACAAAACACTATCACAGGAAACCACTTGAGAACTCCATCAAAGGAGTTAGATATCAGGCTTCTGAATCGGAAGACTTAACTTATAAAAATGACACTATTACAAAAAGCGATCAGCAGATATAATGCAATCCCAATGCAGACTTCATTGATTGTTTTTTAAATCATTTCATTGGGGCCTCATACAATTCTTATCACAATCCATACATACATCCATTGTGTCCAGTACATTTGTTGCCATCGTTATTCTCAAAATATTTGCTTTCTACTTGAGCCTTTAATATCAGGT